ATATTATTATTTTTGTTTTTGGATTTTTGTAGGGTGACTTTGTGCTGATGATCGGCCTGACAGGTAAACTAAATGTTTTCTCAGATTTTTTCTGAGCCTTTCTCAGCACATGCATAATCACTTCCTAATTTTCCTCACATATGTAGTTGTTTTTTTTATTTTTTAAAAAATTAATTTATTTTTTAAAATATATTTTATAGATTTCTTACAGAGAGGAAGGGAGAGGAATAGAGAGTTAGATACATCAATGAGAGAAAAACATCGATCAGCTGCCTCCTGCACACTCCCTACTGGGTATGTGCCTGCAACCTAGGTACATGCCCTTGATCGGAATCGAACCTGGGACCTTTGAGTCCACAGGCCGATGCTCTGTCCATTGAGCCAAACTGATTAGGGCTGTAGTTGTTTTTAAATGTCCCAGATCTTAATATCTGGCTTCTGAAAGGGGAAATCACGAGAAATGAAGAAGAAATCACTGGAATTCTCCTCAGTCAGCGAGAAAAAGCTTACACATTGGAAAAGCGAGATATGACAACAATGGCTGCCCACGTCTTTGTCTGCTTCTCTGTGACCAGAAAGATCAGTCAGTGATAAAAGCAGGGACCCCTGATATTTGGAGAACACAGGCCTTTTAGCCCATGCTGGCTCCTTCAGTCTGCTGATAAACTGCTTCAGGAGCACAGCTGCGTGCTATGGGGGTAGCACGGGTAGCTGCCACTGTTCTAAGAGCAGAAATTGACTAATATTAGTGCAATTTACCTGCTCAAGTCTTTTCTGGAAGTTGCAAGCCTTCAACAAACTCCAGAGTTTCAAAACAGTGACATTAGGCAGTTTCTAGTAGAAATTGTTGTCAAAATGGGGAGAGTGGTTCTTGAAGCTTCCTACCCAGCGTCATCCCAGAATCCTTTCCTAATAGATTATAATATAGGACCAATGAATGAGGCTTGCGGGAAAGTCAGCTGGATGCATGTGCAGGCCGTTTTACTGACTCTATTTTAATTTGATCAAGTGCGAATATGCAGTCAATAGCTACATAGACAGAGAGCCTGCTTGGCACCTTGTGGATGTTAAAACATAGATTATTGTCAAAGAAGTGTTAGCCTTATTGAGAAGTACAATATATACCGAAAGGAAAATAGTAACTGATAAGAACCAAAGAAGTAAACTTACAAGGAGAGTCCAGAAGAAGGAGAGAGTTCTGTGACTTTAAATCATGAGCTTTTCCATCAAGGAGTTCTCCTGAGCTGCTACTGGGAAGACATTCCGATTCATCATACCTAAAACTTACATAGTACTTACACTGTGTCAGATGCTAATTTATCTACTAGTCAAAAGAACCCCAGGAGCTGTATACTATTATACTGTTTTCATAGATAAGGAATCTGAAAAATAGAAACATGATTGTTTTTGGATTTTTGTAGGGTGACTTTGTGCTGATGATCGGCCTGACAGGTAAACTAAATGTTTTCTCAGATTTTTTCTGAGCCTTTCTCAGCACATGCATAATCACTTCCTAATTTTCCTCACATATGTAGTTGTTTTTTTTATTTTTTAAAAAATTAATTTATTTTTTAAAATATATTTTATAGATTTCTTACAGAGAGGAAGGGAGAGGAATAGAGAGTTAGATACATCAATGAGAGAAAAACATCGATCAGCTGCCTCCTGCACACTCCCTACTGGGTATGTGCCTGCAACCTAGGTACATGCCCTTGATCGGAATCGAACCTGGGACCTTTGAGTCCACAGGCCGATGCTCTGTCCATTGAGCCAAACTGATTAGGGCTGTAGTTGTTTTTAAATGTCCCAGATCTTAATATCTGGCTTCTGAAAGGGGAAATCACGAGAAATGAAGAAGAAATCACTGGAATTCTCCTCAGTCAGCGAGAAAAAGCTTACACATTGGAAAAGCGAGATATGACAACAATGGCTGCCCACGTCTTTGTCTGCTTCTCTGTGACCAGAAAGATCAGTCAGTGATAAAAGCAGGGACCCCTGATATTTGGAGAACACAGGCCTTTTAGCCCATGCTGGCTCCTTCAGTCTGCTGATAAACTGCTTCAGGAGCACAGCTGCGTGCTATGGGGGTAGCACGGGTAGCTGCCACTGTTCTAAGAGCAGAAATTGACTAATATTAGTGCAATTTACCTGCTCAAGTCTTTTCTGGAAGTTGCAAGCCTTCAACAAACTCCAGAGTTTCAAAACAGTGACATTAGGCAGTTTCTAGTAGAAATTGTTGTCAAAATGGGGAGAGTGGTTCTTGAAGCTTCCTACCCAGCGTCATCCCAGAATCCTTTCCTAATAGATTATAATATAGGACCAATGAATGAGGCTTGCGGGAAAGTCAGCTGGATGCATGTGCAGGCCGTTTTACTGACTCTATTTTAATTTGATCAAGTGCGAATATGCAGTCAATAGCTACATAGAGAGAGAGCCTGCTTGGCACCTTGTGGAGGTTAAAACATAGATTATTGTCAAAGAAGTGTTAGCCTTATTGAGAAGTACAATATATACCGAAAGGAAAATAGTAACTGATAAGAACCAAAGAAGTAAACTTACAAGGAGAGTCCAGAAGGAGGAGAGAGTTCTGTGACTTTAAATCATGAGCTATTCCATCGAGGAGTTCTCCTGAGCTGCTACTGGGAAGACATTCCGATTCATCATACCTAAAACTTACATAGTACTTACAATGTGTCAGATGCTAATTTATCTACTAGTCAAAAGAACCCCAGGAGCTGTATACTATTATACTGTTCTCATAGATAAGGAATCTGAAAAATATAAACATGAAGCTCAAATAACAATCCAGTCTTGGAGCTGGGACTGGAATCCAGGCAGGTAAGCGCGAGGCCCAGATCTCTCTGCTCAGTTGGTGTATGACTGAGCCGAATGGCATGAGCAAGTTCGGAGAAGTGAATGTTGATGTGCCTCCTGAAGACAGAAAAGAGGCCAGACTGTCAGGCATGACAGACTTTGTAGACATTTTTCTCCAGACCAATGTGTGTTCAAATGCAGAAACTCATTAAATTGCAGGTTTGTTTAGCATGTTCAATATATTCTGTTTAAGAAACTTCTCCCTCAAGCCCACTGAAGTGCAGAAAAACAACCACATAAAGTTTTTCTTTGTAATTATGGATTTCTTCTTAACTGAGAAAGAAATCAGTATTTTTTTCCCGTTCTCATTTAGTTATTACTTACTTGGAACAAAAAATCTATATTGTGAAGTTTCTCGAAAAAATGTGGAATGGAGTGATAGTCCCCCACAGTGTGAAAGTAAGTACATTCTCTCTTTAGAAATTAGAGCAGTAGTTCTCAAACTTTTGGCCTTGGCTTGACTTCATGCTTTTAAATTTTAAAAGATCTCCACATAGCTTTTCTTCAAGTGGGATATGGCTATTGCTATTCCATTATATTGGAATTAACCCTGAAAAGTTTTTAAAATAATTATTTATGAATTCATTATTGAGAACAGTAAGCACAATACACATTAATATATACAACATATTTTTTAAAGGAAAACCAAAATTTTCAAAAAGTGAGAATAGTGGCATTGTTTTATGTGTTTGCACACTCATCAATATGTGGCTTAAATATAGACCTCGATTTGGGCTGTTGCCTTAACACACCATTTGTACCTTTGGCAGATTGCACTACATACTTTAAGGATGAAAAAGATATTACATTTTTTCATAGAAATTTTGTTCCAAATGGATATTGGATATGCAAGTAGATTATAGAACTCATATGTTAATGAATTTATTGAAGAAGTTCAGAAGACATTATTAATGCTGTATTAATCTTTTACCTTTTCTTTTGCCTTTCCTGTCCTCTTTTTAAGGGATTTTGTGTCAACCACCTCAACAAATACCAAATGGAGAATTCAGCAATAGCCACAAGGATACATTTGAATATAGTGAAGTAGTCACTTACAGTTGTAAGCCTTCAAATGGACCAGATGAATATTCCCTTGTTGGAGAGAGCAGGCTTGTTTGTTCTGGGCGAAACCAATGGAGTAGTAACCCTCCTGAGTGTAAAGGTAATAATCTTTCCATTTCTTTCTTTCAAATTACTTTACCAAAAAGTAAACAAAACGGTCATATATTCTTGTTCCTCCTGTTAAATTGTTTTCTAAATTAATTAAGAATAGGTCAAATTAAAAAAATAGCTCTAGTTGTAGAGTTCCCCACCCCTCGCCCCACCTGTTCTTGGTATTTCACTGTATACCTTGTGAATTACTGTGTATTGCATGGAGTATGACTTTATTGCTTGAAAGCACCACAAAACACACACTGGCTTAAAAATAAAGTGTTATCTAATAATACAGGAACTGATGAAAATCACCTACATGAATCTCACAGCTAACATTATACTTATTGTCATAGAGTAATTCCCCCTAACGTTGAAACAATACAAGGATGTCTATTCTCACCACTCTATTCAGCATTGTATTGAAGGGCCTCACCAGTACAATAATTCAACATATGGAAACAGGCAAACATAGTGGGAATGAAGAAATGAAATAGACTTTATTCACTTATGGTATGATTATCTTTTTGGAAATTAGGAAAGATTGAAGTTTTAGACAATAACTAAATGTGCAGTATTAAATTCCGTATCTATTTACTAGCAATAATCTATTAGCAGTTGAAACTTAATATTTGTATTGATTTCAGAGAGGAAGGAAGTGGGAGAGAGAGAGATAGAAACATCAATAATGAGAGTGAATCACTGATCAGCTGCATCCTGCACGCTCCATACTAGGGATCGAACCCACAATCTGGGCATGTGCCATGACCGGAAATCAAACAGTGACCTCCTGGTTCATAGGTCGATGCTGAACCACTGAGCCACGCCAGCCGTGCAGCCTTTCTATTTTTTAAATATCCCAGTTCATGTATGTTGTTGCTACCTAACAAGGTTTCCTTTCATATCTTTGCATGGCTAGCTTCTTTTCAACTTGAGCTCAAGTATAACCTTCTCACAAGAGTCTTCCCTGCCCCTCTGAAAAGCAGTGTACTG